TGAAAAGCGATATGGTAGAAAATTCCTTCCCGTGTCTTTTATGCGTTTATTGTCTCATTTTTTTGCTCTGCATATTTTACTTTGCATCGTCTGTTTGTCCACAAAATATCTGAAATATGTGATTAACCGATTGTATTCTTCAGCAGTATTAAATGTTCTAACTTTACATTTGGTAATTTGAGTAATGTTTAGATTTGAAGAGGAGTGCTGTAGTAATTAAAGATCAGGTAAATACTCGAAAGCAACTGGAGAGGTTTTGAATCAGAAGTCATTCTCAGATATTACTATCTGGCCGATGTCAGCCATAGTCAAATCAGTCAATCTTTCGAGCCATATGCAAAGGTAGAAAAGGAAATGTTGAATCTTGGATTTTTATTGTGTGTTATGATGAAAAATGAATGCGTCTAATACTAAATCGTTTTAGAAAGCTCTGGATTAGATTTAATCTAGTCGAGCGACCTTGCAGCAATATCCCATGATCTTTGAAATCGTTCACAATTTTGATATCACACAGGTACAAAAAATAATAATAATAAAACACCAATCGTTAGAAATTAATTTTCCCCATGATTAAATAAACAAAGTGCATTGTAAATTGCTCTAGTCAGTAGACTCATATGTTTATTAGACTAACATTTTACAAGGACGTGTAACCAAAATTACTCCCCAACAAGATTAACTTCCTACAACGCTTGTACGTGAACCAGAATGGCGGACATCGGAACGTAGGATGTGTACTAAGTTGGGGTTAGGCCATAATTTTATTCCAATTTTCCGTATTTTAGTTCTATTACGAGTTCAGAAACTAGCTGAGTGACTCCCGCAGTATTGGTACGTGAAATTATGCCCTAACCCTAACCTGGTGCTCATACTACGTTCCGGTGTCCGCCATATTGGTTCACATACATCGGAGGTACCCGACGCTTCACGAGACGCAACAGTTTTCAATCAGTTAGTTGGTGTTTACATCAGTCAGCATAATCAGGCAATTGCCGGTGTGGAATGACAACTAACTTAGGCTACATCTTGAATTATCTAAAACGAGGTAAATTCTCACAGGTCATGTTAGGAAAATTCCACATGAATTGAACATAATTTTTTTTCAGATATATTCCATTATAAGAATTAAATTTTGAATCATATGAACTCTCGTTCTCTTTGCTACACTAGACGCTTGCAATCTAACCGAAACTTAGCAACTCCAAGTATACCAGATAATTTATGACACATAACATAACATGATATTATAAAGATAAATTAGATAGATATATTGCACATAATTGTATAATCGGGTATGCGTAGAAAATAACTTAGAGAAAGTTTTGTTTCAAACTATTATTTTCAACTAGTGCATCAGTGTTATTCAACCAGGCTTCCGTCAGTATAATTCAGGGGTTCCGCAAGTTTACATTTAAATCAAAGAGAGTATATTATTATATGTATATTGTATACGTTTAATCAGATACCTATTATGTTTGCCACTTTTATTAAAATTGCTACGCTTTATTAATCATTTTTGCTAGTATTAGGTTTATTTATATATAGCTATAGTTTTATGTTTTCATTGAGATTGCGTTTCATCAAAAATGTTGAAAACCAATGCTGTAAATCATGGCATTAATTAACAGCCGTTTAAAAGCTAAAAAAGTAGTTCTTTTTTATGTTTGCTCTTTGAATTATTTTCCAAATAAGTGAATTAACTTTATAGTGAGTTCCGCAAACTTTTTGACATTTTTATCCACGTAGAGATTTTGATTCAGTTCAAGAAGATAGTCGATACCTTGCTCTTTGATCAGCATTTCTTGATATGTGTCAGCTGAAAAATTGTTATTTCATAAAATATAAATAAAATAGTTGTGGAAACGCAAATATTTTGATAAATATTGATAATGTAAATACTGTACAAAATACAATAAAGCAACGAATCAAATAAAAATCACGAAATAATGAAAAAAAACCTACACTTACATGAAAACGAACAAAACTCCCATATGGTCCAAACAGCAAATAATTGGAGTGGTGGCGCATCGTATCTTTGAAGAAGTGGGTAGAAAGGCTTAAATGATCTGTAACTGACATAGAAACATATAACTGATGGCCTTTGACTCCATTCCATCACGCAATTATACTGCAGAAACAGAATTATCGTAGTATTTTATCTTTTGTAATATTCAAATTTTGAGACGACAATAACAATAAAATTTTGATAACATAAGTCATGTCGAATACAGGCAAAACAATAATAAATTACTCAATATTGGCTTCATTTGCAAATTAATTATTGATATAATTTACCATATTTGTCAGTGCCCTATTTCTTAGGTTAGGCGACTTCGTGAGTCTTTCCCATTCTTTGAAGTCGATTGTTAGCAAACGCGAGATGACTGCAGCGGCACAGTAGCTGATCTGTCAAATATAAAGTAGCTTTGCTGGGGTAACAATTTTAGTTCAGGAATATAAGCGGGAACAGATAATTATTTTGAGCAAGTTGTATTTTAGATATAAATGTGATGTGACAATATAATTTGAATATTATAAGCCCCAGGGGTGGGCAACCCCTGGCACGCGTTCCAAACTTGGCACGCGTGCCCATTTATTCGGCACGCGAGCGAGGCAAACGAGATCATTCACCTTCAGATAAAAAGTTTCAAGACCCTTCAATTATCTGATGAAATTAGGTGTACGTTTATTCATTATCGTTTGTTATCAATCCGTTATTTATTTAAACTATTTTTGTACTATCATGACATATGATTTTCAAAAAAAGATTATGAAGTAACAAATGAGTAGGCTCTCCAGAAATTTGGTCGGAAAGAGCGCAGCATTCATTTGGCTACTATCTTACATAATATAGTCAGACTGTGCCACCCTTTTCTTCACTTCTGTTTGATTTATGAAGTTGTACAGATCATTTTGGTTAGTATTACTTGCTAACTTACAGTTATAACACTTGATTTCGAAAGAAATATAAGCGATTAGGGAAGAGAATGCAAGAGAGAAGTGCAGAAAACGGACTATTTCGTGATTGGGATGACATTCCCGAAAAATTTCATGTGTTGAAAACTTTACAACTGCATTACTCTCCATGTTTTCATCTACATTATGCTTGTGAATCTCTGTTCTCATTTATGTACTTAATTAAGTCTTCTAACAGGAGTAGCCCGAAAGCAGTTCAGGTATTTTCTTTAAAGTTACAAAACATAAACCCAATGTAAAATCTCCATCAGCGGTAATGCAGCAGCGGAAGTCTGACTGATATAGAATAAGAAAAGTAATCAAATCTAACTGTTGGAATGATATTTTTCTAAATAGTGAAGCTATCTGTACATGTTTATAAGGTTTATTTATGTGTATTTTTGCTTTGAAATTAGCAAATAGTTGTTTTAATTTTTGTCGGCACGCGAAAGAATTTTGTCGTTAAATTTACCCGATTTTGGCACGCGAGCCGAAAAAGGTTGCCCACCCCCGTATAAGCAATAATTTCCTCACATGTATTTCATCTGAATTCATAAATTTTAGTAGACACTCCACTGCACCGGAGTTGCCGTTCAAGAAGTGGTAGCAAATTTCTGGTACCTCCGTCAAATTGTTCTAAGTTAAATGCACTGCATAACTTTTATTGTGGTAATTATCTTGTTTTAGATATTGCATAAAATGTACAATATACAACTAAGCAAACAATGGTATATTCCAAATATTACTCTATCAAATTAAATGAAAATCTCAACGTAAGGGTCCGCCAGGGCAGATTATATTTACACAATATATATGGTCGAGATCAGTGGTGGGATTCAGCCGGTTCGCACCGGTTCTATAGAACCAACTCACGGAATTTATTGGGATCAGCGAACCGGTTAGCATTAATCAGTTTATTTGCTAAAATAATATGACTTTTTGTAACAGAACCGGCTGAAAAATATGACTTTTGTGATGGAAACCGGCTGACAAAAAATTTGAATCCCACCCATGGTCGAGATAATGATAGTTGAAGAATAAAATAATATTTAATGCATTACCAAATTCATGAGAACCCCTTTATTTGATCTGGGATCGTTATCCTGTCAAAACGAGACAAGCAGTTATTAAAGTACAACAATCGAATTATACAAATATAAATCTAGGATCAAATGAAATATACATACATTATACACATCAACGCTCGAACTAATTATATTTCAGCTGTTAAAACAGTCTAACGAATCTGAAAAGGAGCAGTTTGTATCGGTTCTGTTACTCAAAATCAAAATCAAAGAAGTCTGAAAATATTCAATAAATGAATGGATGTTGGTGATTCAATCAAAATAAAACATTTTGAGTATGTGTTGCAGTTTAAAAAATATAATTGAAGAAACCATGCTGTTTTTGTATGTATTTACAAGTATGTTTTTTTTTATAATTTGACTCAGTTTTCAAAAATAGCTGAACCTCGTTGGTACAGCATGACCAACATATTATGGCCGAACGAGATGATCTATTTTCAGTATAAACATTTTAATTTTTCACTCTCCGCTTCCAGTTGTCGTGGCACCCAATACTATTTTCAGACCTACCTCGAGCAGTTCAGCGAAAATTCTTAGCCCCCCTGCATTAACAATATTGGTGCATGTTGAGGGAGTTTCATCTGTTAGGCTCGTCAACAGTGCCAGCAGATTATAAAACGTTGCGTCTCGTGAGCTGGTGTTCGTTTTCTTCCTCAAAATTGATAACAGATTCTAGATAGAAGTAATTTATTCCAACAAAGTTCTACGTTGATGCAATCATTATATTCTAATGAAACGCACAAAATACAATCAGAGTATATTTTTATCTTTATTATATTTTAGTCAGTTTCATAGTAATGAAACATAGTCGGAATACTTAACGTTTTAGCAAACATTTAAACAAATTTTTAAAAAACATTTACCTCCACATATTTTCTGTTTCCGATAATAGCGTTATCTGATCGAGACAGTTTCTTGGTATGTTAGTTAGAAATTCCACAAACTTTCTTTCTATTCCGAATTTTGATTTGTAGTCAAAATTGTCATCAGCAGATGAGCTAAATCCAGGTTACTGAAGCTCTAAACACAAAAATAGCTGGAAAGCCCGTAATCACCGAATCACATTAATCTGAAACATTATTAGTTTGTGCCATAACACATCAAAATAAAATCGATTTTGACAGAATTGGTGTTCCAAAGATTAATTGATGTTACTAAATAATAAAACAAAGGATATACACTTCAGCTGTCACATATTTACGCGTATTTTTTTATGTTTGAGACGCCTTTAAGTTTAGGTTGCAAGTTGCAACAAACGTTTCAAATATTCTAGCGATCACTACACAAAACTGCAAAATAGATTAGAAAAATTGTGCCTGACACGGTACAATAAGAAAAGAAAGCCATGGGACCAACGCGAATATATTACATCTTAACCGATTTATTCATCATAGCGGGTAAAGCCAAAACTGCCAGGCATAAGAGCAATACCTCGGAAGAGAGTTTATCGTCTTTGAAGACTTCCATAGTTTTTATCAGCTCAGTAGCAACCTATCAAAAGTGGATTTTTAGGACTAAGATAAAATTAACTGCTGTTTCAGCAAACTTGGTATGCAAAAGCCTACATCAATGTATATTTAAGTACGTATATTTACTTCGGAAAGCAAATGTACTGTCACTGCTCCACCGCAAATGAAATTGAATACATCACAAACTTCGTGGCTATAATTTGAATTGAGCGACTTTTGTCGCTTGGTATTCTGTAGTATTGAATGCAATTGAGCACCGCCTAAAAATATACAATCAAATTATTAAGTTATTGTATTAAAGTATATTGGATTAAATCTTAGCCAGCATGAAACAGTGCAACTGTACAAGCTGGCAATACATTACCATAATCATCATATGAAGTAGGTATTCACATCCCATTCACCATTATCGATCTAAGCAGGGCTTGATTATGACGATGAGAGACGTCAGGTCAGGACTGCGTCCTTATTGGCACGTTAGTGGACATAGCGATCGTTTTGTTATTATTAGTATGTGTTGTTGTTGTTGCCCTTTGACGCAGAATTTCATCGTTATGAAAATGTCGCTTTTCTCTTTGATTATCAGTAGAGGTGCGCGTGACTAACTCCGAATCCTTTTGCGCTGGTAGATCCGTATGCGTGTAACGACTCGTCTGACCAAAATCAGACTTCCCCAGACAAGAAGTTTTACAGTTGTATTTTATTCCTGCTACAGCATCCCTTGCATTACATGCATACGGATCCACTAGCGCAAAGTCATTGAGAAAGAATTGGGAGTTAGTCTCGCGCAACTCTACTGATAGTTATATTAGCCTTTTCCCTTGATTTCTGTATCTGAATGGATCCTGCCAACTCCGGACTCAACAAATACCACAAGGAAAGAATTTAGAAGCAATATTTAAAACCCAATGGGATCGGCCTGGCTCATGAATGGCTAATCTGTGTCATAATTTGGGATTATGGCTAAATTAAATGTATTTTGGGGGGTCAATAGTATTTAATAGTGATCTGCATGTGAACAAAATCAATTTCAAAACTCAAAATGTTTGAGTTTTAAAATTATCCATGCTTGATCCGGGTGTTCTTAATTACGGTGACGTCATCATATTTTTTTTTATGTATAATTTTTATTTTGCAACAAGGTCAATTTTATTTGTATGAGTATTTCAAAGCTTAAAAATAAACAAAGAAGCTGTTGTTAGTTGAAAACGAAGTATTTTGAACGCGCGAGCAACGTTCTCCGGCTCATAATAAACAAACAAAGATACCAGACAGCACGCGATCAAATGCTCTTCGATAAAACGAATATCACTTCACTTACAAATCCCAGTCTTGTTTTATTTTGAAGGTGACGTAAAGCTCTTCTAAAAGAGAACTCTTTCTCTCGCATATCAATCACGTGTCGACCACAGCGTTAAAAAGTGAGAAACTTTTTCTCGAAATTTTTTGAAATTTCTCTCTTCTTACCGTACAATTTGCGCTACGTAATTTGGGCGCGTTTTAGTGGAAAGCGACGAAAATAAGATTTTTAGGGACACATTAATGATGTTTTGGCATTTTTGGTTGTTGAAATATTAAAAAAATTATAGAGGGGTGTCAAAATGACCCAGGGACACCCGAGATCATTAGGAAGAATTGCATATTCTCTTTGATTACTGGACCAATTGCCTTGAAACTTTTAGTGGTTAAAGATGGCTTTTTTTCCTAGAAGGCTATTACTTTTATTAACTTTAAAATATTCCTATGGGCTTAATGGGATTCATTACTTTGAGGTATGACGTCAATAAAATTTGCCACCACGTGGGGATTCCGCGAACACATATCAACGCATCACGGTTACGTGATCAAGCCTGTTGGTAAGTTACCGTACCGTACCACAGTTGAATTTGAGAGCTACGTGTCCATATATTGGAGCGGCAGCTTCTTTGTTTTTGCAATGATTAGGTTATGTCAATTTACATTGCGCTGTGTTTCCTGGCCTTTATTTGAGCTGATCTACATTATTCTAAAATCGAAAAAGGTAACATGAGTCATTGCAACTTCCTGATGTAAAGTTTCATTCGGGCTCGTGACTCACCAAACCTAGACAAGCCCACAAATATGGTTTAACGATACAACTTCCAAGTTATATATCGACTCCTCTACCTTTGAGTCATCTCTAGAAATTAACATGATTTACGACACAGGTACACGCGGAAATAAGGTTGCCAGTTTCGAATGTAATGTACACAGAAATAATAAGCAGGGAAATATCATTGGCGTTCGCAACATGGTCACTCAATCACAATTACTACACTACTGCATGCCTCACCAGCACCAATTGGGTACGTAATTCGCCTATGGATTGTTGACGTCGTAATGGACCTATTACAGTTGTAAATAATTATGACGTAATAAAGGTAATTTTAGTTACAAACAAGATACGTACGATGATCAAATCACCCAGATAGATTTTATCGTAGTCGAATTTGAAAACACTCCAAGAAACTAAACTATTTTAAAACATAATAATCGTAAAAATATCCCATGCCTCAATTTCTTCTAAGTTGAACTTTTTTACCCTCAATATTTTTTCAATAAGTTTGGATAAATACTCTTTTGCGTTGTCGGGGTCACGAAATTTTTCTTTGAGCAGAATTGAAAGATTCGCATCAGTTACCTAAATATAAAAACATCAATTTGCATTTTAGACAAGAACTAGAAACAGTTTGATTGTTGAATATTTATCTAAAAACCTATAGAAACATATTGGTTAGTAATCTAAAGATAGTAATTAGCATTAATGAATGTTGAAAATAGAAAGACTTTAACAAACAACACATAAACGACATCTGTTCTTAGGCTTTCTCGACCTAGGTTAGTGTTTTTGCAAAACTTTTCGTTTAGTGCCATATTTGAAAAAAATAAGCGGGTTATTAGTCGTACGTTGTTTCTTCTAGGTGATGACCCTCTGGTGTCCAATAGCTGAATAAGAACGAGACTTCTGGAAAGTTCATCAACAGATGTGGAGAATTGTTCACGACAACTTGGACACTGTATACTGCAAATAAAGTGTTAATATCAGTGACTCAATTAAATATTTCCCAGTCAGCCTGTAGATATACATATGTTGGAAATATAAATCTAAACGAGAATCTGAAGAATAAACGCAGGCAAGCAAGATCAGAAAATTTAGCCGGCAAAATAGGACTCACGGGCCGAAACCGACCCAGCGAATTGTTCATCCGGTTTGACTATAGTTTTTATGAATTTCCTATGAAAATATCGATGAAAATAACATCAAATTGACCCCGATTGTTACATTTTGCAATAAAATGGTAATTTAGGATCTGATAAAAGTCATTTCGAAGTATAATGCATCTTGTATTTACGCACAAAATACAGTCAGACAATTAGATTTATATTAGTAGCTTGGATTAACTAATTCAGGGCTTAAAATATAAACATATATACTTTGATAAAGCTCATATACTCATCATTTCAAATCATGACATTACTAATTCAGGGTTTAAATGAGCTATAGCTGGCTATGACATGTTTTAGCACGAGATATAAATATGTATATATATATTCATATACGTTTGATATACCCAACGAAAAAAGTCCATTATCACAAACGATATAATATACAAAAATACCTTCCGAATCTGGAAATATTTTCCAAACATTCAACGCAAAAAGAATGCTGGCACGGAAGCATTTTGGGTGTCTGGCGTCCGGATTCTTCATATGACTCCATGCACACCGCACATTGCAGTAAATTTTCAACAATGTCATCGCCACTATTCGACGCCATTACCAGGCGTGTATATTACCAATAGAAGATTGTAAGGTCATTTAACAAACACGTTACGTAATTCAGTAATTTAGATTTACGCTGAACCGAAAAAAAAAACGCAAATAAATATCAAGAAAACAACTAGGGATATTTTGTAGAAAGTCCCCACGAGTAATGCAAAGCTGTGAAATTTGGGGAAAACAACCCGCCACGTTTTAAAATAAAAAAATTAGTATCAATTATTAAGTAAGTATCTGGAGTGATTTGAAAATTTAAATTTGCACAATCTGTATTTCTTATCATAACCCTATCAGAATAATTTCTTTTTATTTGGAGCGATGGCCGGGGTGTTTTATGTCGGGGGCTTTTCGCATGAGATCCTACATCATGTTATTTTATACACTTTTGAGTATATTTAGTTTTTCCGATAGAAGTGGGGTAGATTGTGTTTATTACGCAACTTTCAAAGATATTTCTTAACTATACTCTTGCAATAACATACTCGATTAATCAAATAAAAAGAATTTTTTCATACTAGACCAGGGTCGTCCAACCCGTGGCACGCGGGCCACATGTGGCCCGCCGAAGGTTTCCGAGTGGCCCGCGCGGTATTATTCGAAACCCGATATTTTTCGCAAATCTGAGCCACTATTTAAACCTCTAATAAAAAAATATATCTCGTCGTTCAAACGCGCGAGAAGCTATCGAAAGCTTTTTAAGTCTCTTTGCGGGCATCATTGCTGGAGTGAGATATCTGAATTTACTTTTACCGTCTGCCATATATTTCAATCTGTTTTCCTGCCTCTTTTATGTGAAACCATAAGCAGCAATTTTCATGATCTCAATATTTCACAGCTCTTACTAGTACTTTCACGGATGAACCATGTCAAATCCCCCATGAGATCACTAATTTCTGACAGTCATATGAAAAATTCGGTTCGCATTGCTACATCGTCTATCGCACCGAATATTGGCTTGTTGGATAAAACTAGTGCCATACTTTGCATCGAAATATCTATGTATGGGTAAAACACCTTTGACTTTACTATATCTTCGTATTACATTGTTTTTATATTTTTGGTGTGAGGGTTTTATTTGTTTTTTCATTAACTTGTAGTCGGTGTAGTGAAAACTAGAACATAACTACCATGTCAAGTGGCCGCGCAATCACTCGCTATCGAATGATCATTCGCTATCTAAAACAAAGCCATCGGCGGACTATCAAAGTGATTCATAACTGCTAGTTAGTTTTTATTTCCATCTGTCAAACACGATTACATTATTTTTAATTCCTATATGCTACCTGAGCTTGAAATATGAAAATCATATGCTAATCCAAAAGATGGCTGACAAATAATTACTTTGAGTTATTTTATA